AGGAAAGAGGGAGAGGGAGGGAGGGAGGAAGGAAGGAAGGAAGGAAAGGGAGGGAGGGAGGGAGGAAAGAAGCAAGGAAGGAAGGGAGGGAGGAAGGGAGGGAGAGAGAGAAGGAACGACAAGAGGGAGAAAAGGAAAGGAAAGGAAAGGAGGGAGGGAGGGAGGAAGGAAGGAAGGAAGGAAGGAAGGAAAGAGGGAGGAAGGAAGGAAGGAAGGAAGGAAAGAAAGAAAGAAAGAAAGAAAGAAAGAAAGAAAGAAAGAAAGAAAGAAAGAAAGAAAGAAAGAAAGAAAGAAAGAAATATGAAAAAGATTATGGATGTGTGGTGAGCTCTGAAGAATATTTCTTTCTCATCAAGGCTTTATGTCCCTCAAAGAGGGTTTGTTCCCTTATTGCATCTGAGTAATTTAGTCCCGCCTTGATTCAAAAAGGGCTTGAACCTTAACTGGGGGAAAGGACATCCCCAGAGGGGCTAAACAGCCTCTGAAGGTCAGAAAGGAGAGAATTTATGATGTTGGTAAATGTAGTGAGAAGATAGGCAACACCCAGCCTCTCGGAAGAAAGACCAGCTGGAGAAGGTGAGGAACAGGGCAGGGCCATCCGACAGAACTCCATGACCAAATGGAGCCCATCCCTGGTCCAGAAAGCGAGACAGCCCTGCCTAGTAGCCAGTCCCTACCACCAGCAGGGCTGGTCCCAATGAGGAGTTAGCTACAGTTCCCCAACTAGTCCGTTCTCTGCATTTTGGTTGAAACAGAGCAGCTAAATTCATGACGGGGATGGGATGGTTGATACTACCTTGCCCATAAGGGATTTCATTGATGAGGCAGCCCAGTTCAGAGGCCCATTTGGGTCCTTAAAGATCTGGAGTCCTCAAGGTGTGGAGGCTTCACAATCAAGATCCTGTTATCTATGGTGTTCTGGAACCTGAACTAAGATGCTTTGTAATTCAAGTCCAGGCAGAGTCAACTCAACGAAAAATGGTTTTAAAACAAATATTTATTCCAGGAATTCTTAGCAGAACTTAACTTTCTGAAGATACGTCCGGATGTGTACATTTGTCCATTTTACATAGGTAAAAACAGTAATTCCTTCATATCAGCTTTAGCGTGGTTGTAGACAATATCCCTGCATGCGTCCCATGTTGGTTTCACACAAAAGCATTCCTTTACTCAGATACGTCCTGCAATAACTTTGAAACTCCTCCCACTTAACTGGATAATGATAGGATTCACTGAACAGCTAAACTACATTACTCATAAGCCATCTCTTAAGGAGACAGCGCTTAACCCTTTAAATGCCAAACATTCTAGCATACAGTGCTCAGCTAACTGGCTGGTCCAGTACATATGGAGATGCTCAGTCATCCAGGTCATGGTTGTCCCAAAGGTGCTTTTTCAATTTGCAACTGGACTTTCTTTGTTTTTTCTTGAAGACGTTCTGCTTCTCATCCAGGAAGCTTCTTCTGTTCTGACTGAATGGTGGAGAATGGAAGGATTTATATCCTTTGCAGTCATCTGGTCATTGGCGCTCTTTCTAAGAGTTGTTCAGCCAGAACCTGAAGACGCTTTTTGGATGAGAAGCGAAACGTCGTCAAAGGAAAAACCGAGGCAGTCCAGTTGCAAATTGAAAAAGCACCTTGGGGACAATCAAGAGCCTGCTTGCTCTTGTGGGTGAACGGGGGGAAGGATTCGACCTGAATTGTTCCGTTCAAATCCAAACTTTTCTGCATTGCGTCTTCGTCCCTAGATGGTCCAGAGGTGCCTGTCATCCATCCAAACAATGCCTGTAATAAAGAATACCAAACCATCATCCTCAACTGTCTGGCTGCTTCGTATCCCGGGCCTCAGTACACTTGGTACCGTGATGGTACCGTGATGGATCGCGGGCCCAAATTAATCATCGAAAACTTCACCGAGAGCCAAGCTGGGATCTACGTCTGTGAAGCCCTGAATGAGCTTCTTCAAACACGGAACGAGAGCGACGGTCAGCACATCCGCTTGGAGAAAAGTAGGTAACCGCGGTGGAACCAACACTTGTGGTCTGTTGTCATTGTGGGTCGTTGGCTGAGAGCCCTTTCACCAGCACCGTCTGTGGGACCTGCCACCCCTTTAACCTCGAAATAGAAACGATCTCCATTTGTTCAGGGAGATATTATTAGAGACCAACTGTACAGGTTGTCCTCAACGTAGGACCACAATTGGGCTCAGTTGGTGTCGTAAGTCGAGGACCACCTGTACAGTGGATCTCTAATAAACTATATCTTTCTCAACAAATGGAGCCAAGGATCGTTTGGTATAGGTTCTCCTGCTCGAGCAGGGGGTTGGACTAGAAGACCTCCAAGGTCCCTTCCAGCTCTATTCTATTCTATTCTATTCTATTCTACTCTACTCTACTCTACTCTACTCTACTCTACTCTACTCTACTCTACTCTACTCTATTCTATTCTTCTACTTCATTCCATTATTTTATTCTATTCTATTCTATTCTATTCTGTTCTGTTCTGTTCTGTTCTGTTCTGTTCTGTTCTGTTCTATTCTATTCTATTCTATTCTATTCTATTCTATTCTATTCTATTCTATTCTTCTACTTCATTCCATTATTCTATTCTATTCTACTCTACTCTACTCTACTCTACTCTACTCTACTCTACTCTACTCTACTCTACTCTACTCTATTCTTCTACTTCATTCCATTATTCTATTCTATTCTATTCTATTCTATTCTATTCTATTCTATTCTATTCTTCTACTTCATTCCATTATTCTATTCTATTCTATTCTATTGTATCGTTGGTAAGGGAGACAGTTGTTCAGTGAATTTTGCCCCATTTTACGACCTTCCTTGCCACAGGTGTTAAGTGAAACACTGCAATAGTTAAATTAGTAACCTGGTTGTTAAGGGAATCTGGCTTCCCCCATTGAACTTTGCTTGTCGGAAGGTTGCAAAAAGAGGAATCACATGACCCCAGGACGCTGCAACCGTCATAAATACGAGCCAGTGGCCGAGCGTCTGAAATTTGATCATATGACCGTGGGGATGCTGCAACGGCCATAAGTGTGAAGAAAAGGCCATAAGTCACTTTTTTTCAGTGCCGTTGTAACTTTGAACGGTCACTAAACGGATGGCTGTAAGCCGAGGACTATCTGGGTTGCTGTATTGCAAAGCCAGAAGTGGGAAAACCTCTGAGTTCTACTTTTCCCTCTCTTAACTATCTCTCACTGCCCACCCCAGTATGACCAACCAGGTTCAGGCGGGACTTTCATAACGGTCAGTCCGAGCGAAGTTTGGTACGGGGCTCCCTCCTTCTTCCAGCTGGGTGACCTTGGACCAGTCCTTGTCTCTCAGCCCAA